GCCCTCACAGAATCTTGAGTTCTGTGAGAGGGTTTTGATCCTCTTGGAGCCCTCAAATCACACTATTTGTTTGTTTTGTTTTGTTTTGTTTCATTTGGATTTTTTATTTTTTTTACTTTCCTGTCCATTCATTTGGGAGATTGCAGACCTGATTAGTCTAGAATAACGAAGAGATAACAGTTACCTTATATCCCAGTAACAAGTGCGCGCACACACACGCAAGCACACACACACCATTGTTTTCATCAGCCCATGAAGATTTTCCCCCAAACATATAAAAAATTCTTAATAAACACAAATAATACAGATAACTTCTTGCTTCTTTATACGCAGACCATAATGGCAAGATATAAGAAAACAAGAGACACTGTAGAAATTATGCAAAGACAGAGAGATTGAATAGTAAAGCTTTGAAAATGCTGTCACTCTTTCAAGAAATCAGCATGAAAAACTGGGAAATTATTAGAATCAACCAAATAATAACAAAATACAATCAATCAGAAGCTGAATGATGCTGAAAAACTTCATAAAAGTGACAGATACAAGGGCCCTCATTACAAAAACAGAGTTATTTCAAATAACTAAAGCCAAAACCATTTCAAGACCTTACCAAATCAAGAACAGATCAAACACAAAATCATTAGAAGGAAATATAAAATGAAGACCGGAGGTGAAATTCATAGACAAAAACTAACAGAGGTGCTGGCCAGATAGCTCAGAAGATTAAACCTCCTGCTTAGGCAGATGCAGGGGTTCGATCCCCAACCTGCCATGCAGGCCCAAGCCCAGCAGGCACTGAAATGGAGACTGAGACTGGACATGGTGGCTTGTGCCTTTAATTCCAGTCTTGGGAGGCTGAAAAACAGGAAGGATCAGTACGAGTCCTATCTTTGCAGTGACACCCAGTAGACCATGTACAAATTACATTAAAAAAAAAAATAATAGAATGCAGACATCAATGAAACAAAGGACTAGTTCTTTGAAGAGATACACAAATATGATAGATACTCGCTAACTTACTAAAAGAAAAAAAAGAAAGACCCTAATAAATTAAATTGGAGACAATAAGCAAACATTAAAACACATATTAGTGAAACCCAGAGGATTAGGAAATATTTTGAAAATGCACATGCCAGCAAGTTACATTATCTAAAAGAAATAGACAAGTCTCTAGACATAAGTGATCTACCAAAACTGAACTAGGAGGATATTTTAAAACTACATCAATCATCAGCAATGTGATGGAAGAAATAATGAAACCTCTCAACAAAGAAAGGCCCAGTGGAATGGATTCAGCGCTCAGCTGTGCTGTATTTTACAGAAGCACTAATACCAATGCTCCCCACAAACTCCTTAGAGAAGGAAAACAAGATAAGCTTTCAAGTGCATTTTATGTAGCCAGTATTATCTGCTACCAAAAGCAGATAAGAATAAAACAGAAAAGATGATTACAGACATTTGTCCATGAGGACTATATGTGCAAATTTCCTCCACAAAATACTGGCAAGTTGAATCCAACATCGCACATTAAAGATCATTCACCATGACCGAGTAGATTTGATTCCAGGGACGCAAGGCTGACCAACATGCAGAATGTAATTAGCATAATAACAGTACATAAGCAGATTTGCAGAAA